ATTGGAGGCATTGGCCCTCTCTGGGCCTTGTTTTTTTGTTTTTTTGTTTTTTTCTTTTCTTGAATTGTGAAATTTCATTTGCTAATGTGTACAATCAAGAAACACTCCCCCTGGGGCGCCTGGGTGGCTCAGTAGGTTGAGGGGCGCCTGGGTGGCTCGGTAAGTTGAAGCCTCCACCTTCGGCTCAGGTCATGGTCTCAGGACCTTAAGGATCGAGCCCCGCATCGGGCTCTCTGCTCAGCGGGGAACCTGCTTCCTCCTCTCTCTCTGCCTGCCTCTCTGCCTACTTGTGATCTCTATCAAATAAATAAGAAATCTTTAAAAAAAAACAAAACACTCCCCCTTACTAACAGAAGGAGGGAAAGGTCCAAGATCACATTTGGTTTATTATTTATTTATTATTATTTAGTTTATTTATTATTTGCTCTGCCTGGGTTATTAGCCACATTAACCTGGATTTCATTAATATTCAGTGTGGAGCAACAAGGAAAGCTCTTCTAGAAATGGGATGTGATTAATCTACAGTATAACTGAATATATCTATTGTCATTGACTTAAAGAGCTGTGTATTTATCTCCCTGCCCAAGTCCCAGACTTGGCATTAGCCTATCCTGTCTAGAATTTCAGTGTGTAGATTTCAAAGTCTTTCTTGCAAAACGAACAGGTGTACTCTTTAAGTGGCAGAATGCTTTCAAAGTTACCATGGTGTGGGAGGGTCAGGCGTATGCTAGGGATGTGGCTATAAAGCTGGGTGATAGTAAGTGTGTTATTATTTGGCACAAAGTGAATAGTCAAGCTTTCCTTTAGCAACATTGAGGCGGGGGCCTTCACAGGTTCCTGGCACTGTCTAAGGCATCCGAATTAGGGTGTGTCTGGCCCACTGTGCCCTTGTTAGGGACGCCATCCCACCCAATGGTCCCTACTTTGCCACTTGCCCCCCTCTTGCAGAGCATCCCTGGAGGCCTGTGCTTCCAACAGGGTAAGTGTCATGAGGTCTTGCGATCTGCGGTGGTTAAGGGATGTGTCCCCGGCACTGTGTTCAGGTGGAGGAGCCTGCTGTGCGAATCCCGGGACAGGAGCCCTTGACGGCGTCCATGCTGGCCGCAGCGCCGCTGCATGAGCAAAAGCAGATGATTGGTGAGTGGCTGGTCCCCCTACCCTGGAGGGGAAGCAGCGGCCGAGAGGTGGCCAGCCTGTTGGGAAAAGCCCTGAATGGAGGTCAGACGTGTAGACAAGGTCCAGCGTTGCTGCAGACCCACCTGCTGGGTGACCTTGCTCAGGTTGCCTCTGTTCTCTCGGCTTCCCCGCTCTCTGGTCTCAAAACACTGGTCTAGGTTTCTTCAGCACCAGGCCCACGACGGGCTGGAGAGAGCCCAGCTGAGGGCAGATCGGGGGTCAGGAGCCCCAGGGTATGGTCTTGGGTTTCTGCTGGTGGGTGTCACAGCGCCTCACCTCTCCTGAATGGGAAGAGGCTGTCCCCACATGTCCAGCTCCCAGTGACCACTGAGGGGAGGCGGGAATTAAGTGTGCATGGGGCAAACACCTGTTCCCTGCTGGACTGTGAGTTCCCTGTGCAGATTGTCCCCAGCCCACTGTCTGTGACAAGCCCTGCTAAAGGATGCCACTCGCTGTCGAACGAATGACCAGCTTGCTACTTACTGGGTGTCAGGTTCTTTCCTCCATGGCCACCAAAATGTCCAGACCCTCTCTGAAGGCCCCCTTTGCCACCACCCTGTTGTTTGCTCAGCTCACCTGGGGTTCTGCCACTTCCCACTGGTCAAAGGAAATCCTCCACGGGCTTCATGGAGGCAGGAAGCTGTTAGCCGTTCCCTGTAAACCTCTCCCACCCCAGCACCCTAGCACCGCAGCACCCCAGCCTGGCCAGACCCTCCACGTATTGCTGAGGGGGTGCCTCACCACCAGTGCTGGGTCCTGTCACTAGGAGTGCCTGATGGTGGAAGGTGAATTTATCTTGCGCATGTGGCTCCCCCTGCACCCCCAAAAGTCCAGTCCAGCATTAGCATATCTTGTCTAGGATTTCAGTGTGTATATGGGAACTATTTCTTGCAAAATGAACAAGAGTAGTCTTTAAAGCCCAAGTCTGTGTCCAACCCTGTGTAGATGACTTCACCCAGAATATCAAATTTGATTCTTCAAATTAGCCTCTGAAGCAGGGTTTGCTCCGCATACTTTACGGTTGGGAAAGATGCTCCCAGTGGAGCTAAGGGACGGGATGAGCCCCCAGATGCCTCGCTGCTCTGTTCCACAGTACCCATGCCTCCCCCGCACCCCCCGCTCTTGGGCTGCTGGGATATCAGCCAGCTGTTCTGTACAGGTGAGCGTCTGTACCCCCTTATCTACGATACCCACACCCAGCTGGCCGGCAAGATCACGGGCATGCTACTGGAGATCGACAACTCGGAGCTGCTGCTCATGCTGGAGTCCCCAGAGTCCCTCAATGCCAAGGTGGTCTGGGCCCTGGGTGGCAGGGTGCCCTCTGAGGGCAGGAGGAGAGCTTATGACAAAGACTTCTAGAAGAGCTAGCTACCAGGTGGTGGCTGGGACGGTTTCCCTTTTTGCTACTGCCAGCTTGCACTTGTTGAATCTTTGAGCAGGCAGGGAAAAGGGCTTAAGGGTTTGCTATTCCAGCCCTTCCACATTAATTCTCTGCAGTTCCATGTGCAAGGTCTTGCAAGGTCTTGGTACAGAGAGCAGTGTTCTGACAGAGTCTAGGGTCACACACCTGTCTTGAGAAGGTGACCGTGGGTTTCCGCTTGCAAGCCCCAATGCTATGGAAGGAGGGGACTTCCAGTACCTAGCATGCCTAGGCACTGGGAGGCCAGGGCTCTCCCAGGACCCCACTGGGCAGCTGCACTAACTGCCATCCCCCCGCTCGTGTCCCATAGGTGGAAGAGGCCTTGGCAGTGCTGCAGGCACACCAGGCCACAGAGCTGACGACTGTGAATGTGCTCTGAGACCAGGTGGGTAGCTGGGGGTGGGACAGACGGAGACAGAAGCAGCTGAGCCCCAGAGAAGCTGGGGAAAACCAGTCAGGGATTGACTTGCAGAAGCTGTGTGGCTGGCTTTCTCTGAGGCACCAAGGAGTTTGGGGGAAGCTGTGATGATCAAAGGAAGAGGACAGACGGTGTGATATGAATGAGTGTTGACCACTGGGCAAAAAGTACAGATGTCCTCTTGCCCGCTGTCCTGCCTGGCCTCCTTGGGAAGAGGCAGGGCTGCCCCTGGCGTTGCCTGGCTTCACGCTCCTTGCTGGAAGGCCTGGCTTGGCCCGCTACCTTCTTGGTTGGAAGGCCAGGAGTCTGCCAAATGTGAGAAACATTTATTCCTATCCTTTCATCCCCAGAAAATGGAATCCTCCCTCCCCTGGCTGACAAGAGAATGGCGTTTCCTGCTCTTGGCTCTCTGTCTCAGTGAACCATAACTTCTTTCCCCCTGGGGCTGTATGGGTACTTGAGCTCTGTATGTGGAATGAAGGCTGGACACCCCGCCAGCCTATCACTTTTTGCTTTGTGCATTAAAAGTGCTGCAAACTCTGTGTTGTCTAGAATAATGTTACACAATCCCTCAGTCAGCGGGAGGCCAGCGGCAGTTGGTGCTTCGGGAGAGGGGGGATTACCTGCACTGCCGGGCACTCAGCCAGGTATCCGGAAACCTCCATGTGTGTCAGACGTGGGCACCTGCAGCTTGAATTCCTTGTCTCGGTGCTGTGTGAGGGCCACTGCTGGGTGCGCTTTGGGGCGCTTCCAGATGGTCCTGCTCTGCCCCTGCCCCTTCTCTGTTGTACACACCTTCTCCTCCAGCACTTGCTCCTTCCAGCCAATCCCAGCCCAGTCAAGCCCCCACCCTTTGCTCTGCCCCACCTCCCTCAGGCACAAGGAGGCCTCCTGTGCCATCTGGGCACATTATCATTATCACATACCATTATTCTAGAAAAAGCCCCCACAGAATTGCTTTTAGATACCTTCCCAAGTCCTGATTTTATCTTCTGTGTGTCCATTAGTAAACCAAGGTGCTTGCCTTCTAGACCTTGAGAAGAAAGTCAGTCAATTGTGAGGGGATGTTACCACTAAACCTGCCTCCCATCAGTTAAGAGTCTTGCCTGAGAGCTGACAATAAAAGGGGCACAGCTCCCCGCTCTGGCCCCTTGGCCATGTGGCACATGGGTCTGTGACCCCTAGAATCTGCTTAGTTCAGAGGGCTGTGGTAGCTCACAAAGCAGAAGCTCCTCCTTCAGAGCTCAGAAGCAGTGTGCTACCAGCTGAATGGCGCTCGGCACTCCTGTGACAGGAGCAAAGGGACAATGGATTCCCTCTGCTCTTAGGGTCCTCAGACTTCGTGCTGCTCCATTAAGGGGAAAACACACTGGGCTCCTGGGTGGCTAGGTCGGTTAAGAGTTTGCCTTCAGCTCAGATCATGATCCAGGATCCTGAGATCGAGTCTCATGTCAGGCTCCCTGCTCTGTGGGGAGTCTGCTTCTCTCTCTGCCCTTCCTCCCACTTTTTCTCTCAAAATTAAAAAAAAAAAAAAATGCAGAGGGAACAATTTGACTAGGACACAGACCAGGAAAGTACTTTATACAGACGTCTATGGTGTCTGCTTGGCCTGCCTTACTGCTCTCCTCACCAGTTAAACTCCCACGTTAGAACTCAATGCAAGCTTTACTTCCTCAGGGACCCCTTTCCCTCCCCAGGGTCAGGCGGGGAAAGCGCTGTGTGACAGCTCTAGAGCGCTTGCCTGGCTGCAGTTTGTTCCGGGGATGTCTGGTGACCACCGTCCCTGCCCACCAGAGCCTCAGCCCTCTGCAAGCAGGGACATGGCTGGTCACTGATCTCCCCAGCACTGTACACCGAGCCTAACCCGTGCAGACACTCCAGTAAGTCTGTTTGAGTGTGCAAATGCTCAACACACTGTAGCTCTTTATTACTGCAAAGGTGCAGGCACAAAGCTGAAAAAGCACAAACATGAATACAGTAGGCATCTATGTACCAGAAAGATGTTTAATGCAATAGCTTGAATACACAGTTCAACAAAAGCAGTAGTTTAGTTCAAATTAACTTCACGTTACAAAGAACCTAGAAGCTTGGAGGGGGCCACTGTTGAGGTCAAAAGAAATCCCTGCCCAGAGTGGAAGGACATGGACTTCAAGAAGGCCTTTCTCTCCATCCCACCTTCAGGAGCGGCCACACCTCCGGACTCTTAAAACCGCTTGGGCACCTCCCCGCAGGAGGCTGTGGCGCAGAGCTACGGACAAGGCCATCTGAGGGTCAGGATTCCGTGTCCTCACCAAAGCAGGGCCCAGCCAAAAGGCACTGGAGCTCAGAACACAGGGAACTCTGCCCAGGACAGGGCGGGGACGGCAGCCCTGGAGAACCAGCTCAACAGGCTGCTCTGGGTTCTAGTTTATCCCTCATGCCCCCCTAGCCCCCCAATCCCCGAGCTCAGTTTGCTCAGATGAACCACAGTGAGATGGGTCTGGTGCAGCTAGAAGGGCAGCCGTGGGGAGCACAGCTGGGGCAGGGACAGAGCCAAGTGCTCTGCCAACTGTCCGAGGCAGGCGGGGAGTAGGGACCGTTCCAGCAAAACAACATCTGGGGTTTGTTTTTTTGTTTTACTACTCTGAGCTTAATTTGAACAAGCAAAGCCTCTTAAGGGGCGGGAAGCCGTCACCTCTGAGTCACATCCGAGCTCACTTGGGGGTATGCTGGGTCCCAGGAGCAGGCCTGGAGGAGGGAGCTCGGGCAGAGGTTTCCCGCCAACCTTCTGGGTCTTTAGTTTAAGCTCTGGTTAACTTCCTGCTGCAACTTCTGGGCAGGGCCGTTTCTCGGCTCAAGCTGCAGAAGACTGTTGATGTCTTCAAAACTGGATTTGTAGTCCTGAGAGGAGAGAGAAGGGGGCGAGGACGGAGGCCCGACCGAGGCGGGCTGGAGCGGCCAGGGCAGAGGGTCTTGAACCCCAACCTCAGGGCCTGCCTGGAGCCACGAGGGCTTCCCTGGATGGGGAGGGACGTGGCCCACCCCCCCTCGCCCAGCCGACGCTTTGGAAGGGCCACCCCAGGCACTGGCGCCTCAGTGGGTGCCTTTCAGTCAGGCTTTTCTTACCTTGAGTGCCTTGTAGGCTTGCGCTCGTCTGTAGAACGCCTTCACGTTCTTTCCATCCAGCCTGAGGGCTTCTGTGCAGTCCCTCACTGCTTCCTTGTACTGCTTCAGGGCCAAATGGCAGAGCGCTCTGATGGGAAAGGCCGATGGAGGTCTCAGCCCCTGCTTAGTCCCCCACCCCCAGCCATGTGGTGGTCAGAGGGGTGATCTTGGAGTTGACAAACGGCGCTCTGAGCTGGTGGTCGCACAGCTTCCTCACCCTTGGGGGGAGGCTGGCCCCTCTCCATAGCAGGAACCCGTGGGTACAGCGCGGGGTGGGATGGTGGGGCGGGGAGAGGCATCCCTTGAGAGCCCGGCTTGCGGCACTCCGCGTCCTGACCGTGTGGCTCCATCTCTCAGGCCACCTCACACTCCCAGCCTGTTATCTTTTGCTCCTGAAACCTCCCCCTTGATGGATTAAAGAGTCATCCAGGGTACCGGGCCGTGAGGATGCGCACGTGGGCATGTTAGTGGGAAGGTGGAAGAGGCCTGTGGCTCACGCTGAAATGTGCCCAAACTAAGAGGCGCCGGTCAACGGCTCCATAGCGATAGGGGCAAACAGAGCAAAGTTAATGAGGAATTTAGATGGTAGGTGGTTCAACGCACAATTCTTTCAACTTATAGTGTGAGAATTTTCATGATCATGGGAAAAAAACAGCTGCAGACACCCATATGACAAAATGTTCTGCATCTACGGGCGGGAAAAGTCTGTACACCTTCCCCACTCTTTTCTCCAAAGATGGCCGCTAAGAACAGGTGTGTTGGCGCTCCCTCTGGGCCTCCATCCATCCATCCCCAGCATCTCCAGTGGGAGCAGTATTCACTTGGTCAGATGAATCATAACTTATTTTACCAATTCCTTATGTGGGGACAGTTTTCATTGCTTCCAGTCTGTAAACACAAGACACTGCCATCAGTGTCCTTGTGCATAAAACTCAGAGGCCTGCTGGGAGGGACCGTGGGTCAGTGGATACGGGCACTTATAATCTTTTTTTTTTTTTTTTAAAGATTTTATTTATTTATTTGACAGACAGAGATCACAAGTAGGCAGAGAGGCAGGCAGAGAGAGGGGGGAAGCAGGCTCCCCGCCAAGCAGAGAGCCAGATGTGGGGCTCGATCCCTGGACCCTGAGATCATGATCCGAGCTGAAGGCAGAGGCTTGACCCACTGAGCCACCCAGGTGCCCCCGGGCACTTATAATCTTGACTGTTGTTGCCAAAATGCTCTGCAAAGGAGCTGCTCTCTGAGGCACCATCAATAACTTTCTATTTTCCTGTAACTGTACCAACCCTGGGTGTCAATCTTTAATTTCAATCAATAATGGAAGAAAACAAGATCCGTTTTAATGTAATTGCTCAGTATCTTTACATAAGGGTTTTTAACCTTATGAAGTCGAATTTACCTTTCTTTTAATGACCGCTCTGGTCCCTATCCCCCACCCCACAATTCCATTTTAATACTTTTCCCACAGCAAGATAATTAATCCGTGCATTCCTCTAGAACTTAATGGTTTTACTTTCCACATTTGAAACTGTGATCCACTTAGAATTTCTTTTAAAATATGGAGTGAGATAGGGATTCAAGTTTATTTTTAATTTTAAATGAGACTCTTCTGAAGGTCCATTCAGGGCAAGCTGTACATGTGGGGCACCTGAGTGATATCAATTGCACAGAGAGAATGGGAGGAAGCCAAAGGAGATGCCCTGGTACACAGAGCTTCAGACACACAAGGCAGAGCATTTCAGTGGCATCTAGGATGTATAATTTCAGGCACAATGGAGAGAAAATTCAGTTTTGTGTCAAGTTATTAGTTCTCAAAATTAAATTTATAAATTCAGGGGTGCCTGGGTGGCTCAGTGGGTTAAAGCCTCTGCCTATGGCTCAGGTCATGATCTCAGGGTCCTGGGACTGAGCCCCGCGTCGGGCTCTCTGCTCAGCAGGGAGCCTGTTTCCCCCTCTCTCTCTGCCTGCCTCTCAGCCTGTCAAATAAATAAATAATAAAAATCTTCCAAAAAATTTATAAATTCAATGTAACCACAACCAAAAGCCCACCAAGATACTTTTTGGAGTCTGTCAAAAAGAATCCTGCTAGGTTTAGCTCGAAGAACAAACCTGGGAAAAGAGCCAGTGATGCTCTGGTTAAGAACAAGGAGAAAACCACCCCTACAAGAGAGTATAAAGCACTAATAATTAAAACAGCGGGGCACAAACACATATGCGTGAAAAATCGTATTGAAACAAAACAAAGCATTGTCTTGAATACAGTAAAAATTCAGGAAACTAGACTATTGGAGGTCTCTCGCAGTACGAGACAAGGGAGTCCAGCAGGCCCAGGGATGGGGTTATCAAAATGCTGCTGCAGAATCCCAGAGCGGGTGGGCAGCAGCACTTCCTTCCGGTGAGCCTGACAGACTGAGGGACCCCTGGTCTAATCAGCCAGTAAAACCACAGGTTCCCGATGCCAAAATCCACACTTGAAAATGAAAAGTTCTCTCTTGAACTTGACAGCAAAACCTGACCCGCACAGGCCTGCGGTTACTTAGTCTGGAACACTGCCCCCCATGAACACGGACTGTCCCTGTGTTTCAGGCAGAAATGTTAACAGTGAACTTCAGCCACTGCCCCAGAGCCTGTGGGAGTATTATGTGGTCCCATGTATGAACCATAGGACCTTACTCAGATCTGGAACACATTTTTACCCCAAGAATTTTGGATAGGGAATGGCGAGACTATAGTAAATCCAAGATTTTTTAACTAAAGAGTAATAGTAAGTGTATGTTAGCGGGGCGGGAGAAACCATTGATAACATTTTTATAGTAAATCTTTTATAAGCAAGATTTGGCTCAGAGATGGTCCCTCGGTGAGTGCTCCAAGCTTCTGACAGTAAAACTAGTAGATCTCATCGGAGCCAGGTTGCAAGTCTGTCTCCACCATTTACTGGCCAGGTGAGCGGAGGTGAAGACGTTCCAGCTCTGAGCTTCTGATTTCTTGACTTGCAAAGGGGAAGGCCACTGACCACCAGTACGCCTGAGTGTGTGTAAAACCATGATTCCCACCCAGTAAAGGGACAGTGCCCCCCCCCCCCCCCCCCCCCCCCCGCCGTCAGTAGAAAGAACCAGCAGCCATGCCTGCAGCCCGTGGTGTGGGTTGTTCAACTGGCCGCAGGTCACACCCTTCAGGCTAGGCGGGACCATCTCTCTTGCTCCCAGGCCAGGTGACAGGGAGTCTACACCCTGGGTTCTTTCCCTGTGCTGAGACAGGGCCAACCCACCCAACGGGAGGGTCTGGGGAAGCCGCGGGGCTAGGCCAGGGGGAGGGCTACGAGACACGTGCGGAGGCCATGTTTGCGTGGCAAGCACACTGCTCTCACTCACGGAGTGTGCACAGCTGGACGGTTCACGAAAGCCTGAAGAGGAGGGACGGGGAGAGAGCCCAGGCCCCATGGGGGCATCGCTCAGTTTCTATTCCTTTAAGAGAGAGAATGCCACCGACCACACCTGCCTCCCAGTGACCAAAACAACCAGGTACGCCTACTCTGAGGTGGGACACACTGAGTCAATGAGAGGAATGAAGAGGCCACCCCAGTCTGCAAGCAGACTGGGGGTGGTGGCGACAGCCAGTGTCCCGCAAGCCCCCAGGGCAGCAGCTGCACGGAATATACCTGTTGCTGTACGTGGCAGACTCCATGTCACTAAAGGACAGGCTTTCACTGTACTTCTCAATAGCTTTCTTATGGTTCCCCTTCTTTACAAGCTCATTGCCTTCTTCCTTCAGAATTCTGGCTCTCTCCACATCCCCAGCAGAAGACACTAGATGCAAATTCAGAAGAGGAAAGAGCCATGGAGCAGGTGCCTGAGGGCCTGAGGCCTCACTGTCAGAGACCCTCTCCCGTGCCCCCTCCCCAGACTCCCTACACTGCTCTAAAGCAGCGTCCCCAAGGAAGGAGCCCCCCACGTGGCTTCTGGGAAATTAAACAGGTTCTCAGTCGGAGGCTGGGGACTCCCGACGGAAACACACACAGACACACACGTCAGACAGATATGCGGTAAAGGGCACGCTGAGGTCTAGTCCCCGCAGTGGCCCTCAGTAGCCGGGGACCTCGGGTCACCTGCCTAGTCTTGGGGACCTCAATTCCTCTGTATACTGGGGCACCAGCAACCCGACCCGGGGAGGTCACGATAAAACCTGAGTGCGCCACAAAGTGCAGAACACCCTATCAACTTAAAGCAGGAGAGGAAGCAAGTATTTAAATAAGCATCTGAGAAAGAAAGGGTGTCGCTCCCCAGATCTCTGCAGACGGCCGAGAAGCCCTCCGTGCTGTTCTGAGCCTGGACCTTCCCTCACCCACCCCACACAGCTCGGCCCCAGCGCAGACGGACAGACACACGAGGCGAAACCCGGCTGCTGGCCTGGCCCTCGGCCCTTCACTGCACAGCCGCAACCACGCTCCAGCCCCAGCTCCCAGATCACCGGGTTTCTTTAATTTTTAAAAACTATCTTTATAAAATCCTGAATCTTTACGACATCGGTAAGGTTTTAGGAACAAAACTAACATGCTTACACTCATCCCTCACCTTCAGAAACGGAACATTCACTGAGACCTTTAAAGCCCCATGGGGGCCCCCTCCCCAAATCAACCCACCCCTGGAGGAAACCATGCTCCCCAACCCTGTGCTTTCTTCCCCCTTTCTTCCTTGGTAGCTTAACTCTTTACGATAGTTCCTATAAACCATTTGCCATTCGTTTTTTTTTTTTTAATTTCATATAAAAGAATAAATGATTCTGAGTATTCCTATTCCTCTGTGACTTGGCTTTACTCCTTCCCCTTGGCACTGTGTTCCTCAGACTCTGCTGTACTAACGCTTATCCCTGTAGCTCGGGCTCACTGCTCATTCATCCCTTCTGCTTGGAGATCTGCACTGTTTCCAGTTCTGTTGTTTGTGGTTGCAACATCCTGCTGTGAACCTTCCTGCCCTCTCCTGGGTGGGCTGCAGCATCCATACCCCTTTGGCTTTCCTCAGGCTCCCCAACTTCACACAGCAGGCCTGGGGCCTCCCACGGCTCCCCAGCGAGAGCCACGCACTGCATTTTCTAGCTCTTTCTACTGACTCTGTCAGACATTCCCTTCCCTTCCCTTCCCCACCTGAAGAACACCCCCCTCAGTCCCCCTCAGCATCCAGCTCAACTGGTCACCTCCTCCGGGAGGCTTTCCCTGACTCCTCCAAGCGCACAGGCGTCAGTTACTGTCTCGAAATCCCCAAATACTAAAGGCTCTAAAGCACGTCCTTCCTCCAGTATTTGGAAATGCTGTTTAGGTGTCTCCATCTCTTTTTATACTGAGGGCTTCCGAAGGCCAAGACTGCCTGTCCTCTCTGTGTCACGCTGGAAATACATGGCACAGAGCTGGAAAATATATGGGCCAGTGACTCTGAAAGAATGAAATACTTAGTAGGCGCCCTGAAGCCATCTAGTTCGTTAGCACCCCACATTTCCATTCTGGAGAAGAGTGGGGGACACTTAGCAGGTTCCCACAAACCAGAGTGAATGCTACCCACAGCCAGATCCATTCCCTCATTCCCTCAAGGGCAGGGGAGTGACCCCGCCCTGCACTGCCACCACGGCAAGCCTGGAGCGCTCACCCGCTGCACCCGCTCTCCTCAATGCCTAGACTCACTGGGCCCAGCTCATTCCCTGGGGTGCCGCTGAACCCTGGCCTGAAGAATGGCCCCTCTATTTTACATGGTTGAGATTGACAGTCTCCCGTTTTGGGGCTCCCTGGCTTTGACCTCCCCTCCCTATTCCACCTCCAGGGCCCGGCGTGGTGTGTGCGCTCCTGAGGAAGCGGCACCCTCTCACTACGAAGGTGGAGGCAGATGGCTTAGGGCCACAAAATCTCCCTGGCCCCAGATCAGTTCCTAGAGAATGGCCTGTGACCAAACAGGCCAGAATACACTGAGACAGTGTATTTAAAGGGATTTAAAGGAAAGAAACCCTCTCTTAGGGAGCTCTCAGAAGAAAACCACCTTTTTCTCTTCCTCTGGGCCACAGGGCATGGCATATTGTGGACGAAGCCAGGAACTACTTTATGGCTATTTTACCCCTGGGATGAACACTGCCCCAGGACAAAGCAGACACACCAAAGAGAGCTGAGACGAGTACCAAGGAATGGAGTCCGAGTCTGCTAATGTCGTGAGCTCCTGGAGCAAACCTAGCCTGAATCTGAACTCGTAACTTTCAGTTACATGAGCCAATATGTTCTCTTTGTTTTTTTTTACCACATTGAGTTTTCTGTTCTTGCCACCAAAAACATCCTGGATCATCCATCCCCAGTGCAGCCAGAGGAAAGAGGAGGGAACCAACGCTGTATACCTATGCGCCAGACTGAGCGTCCAACGTGCCTTTTCTGACTCTGAATTGGGACAGCAGTGGGCGGGCTTTCTCATTGCCTTCAGGATTGAACTGAGAAGACAGTCTCTAAAAGGTAAAGACTTTTTGTTTCCTGGATAACTTGTATAGCTTGGCTTTAAGCAAGGTCAGGTTTTACAGGATTACTCTGAAGGTGGTGGCCAAGGGGAGATTTTAACACTCTGGGCAGGAAGTCATAGCTTACCTCTGCCCTTGGCGGTTGTGGCTTCTCTGAATTTGCCCTTAGTGTTCTCTGTGTGGTACTCCAAAGGTGAGGAATCCCACCTTTTCTGAGCTGTGACAGGCACCAAGGGGATAGAGGGCAGCTTCAGGCGCCACTCAGGCCCCAGCGAGTCCATGAGAGCTCTGGTCATTCTGGAAAGGCAGAGAAAATTACAAGGAGGTTTCTGACTGGGTCAAGAAGATCCATTCCCAGAAATCCAGAGGGGGTGTGTGAGAGCCACCATCCTTTTACAGCCTTGTGACACACAGCAGGAAGGGGACACAAGTCTGCACCATGACACATCCACCCTGCCTGGCCCAGACTTGGCCACACTCTGTTAACCTCAAAGCAGTGAACCCCTTGTTAAGGGTACTCAAACCTGGGGCGCCTGGGTGGCTCAGCCGGTTAAGTTTCTGCCTTCGGCTCAGGTCATGATCTCAGGGTCCCGGGATAGAAGCCCACATTGGGTTCTCTGCTCAGCAGGGAGCCTGCTTCCCTCTTCCCCTCTGTCTGCCTCTCTGTCTACTTGTGATCTCTTTGTGTCAAATAAATAAAATCTTAAAAAAAAAAAAAAAGTATGCTTATTTAAAAAAAAAAAAGGTACTCAAACCTCACCCTCGAAGGACCACACATGCCCCCAAGAAAGGATCACATGTCTTATATTTTGTCAGTGGATCTATTACAAGGCCATACAAGCACCTGATGCGTGACTAATGCTCAGAGATTTTTATAAAATATAAATCTTAGGTTATTCTCAAATTTTGAAATCCTCTAGCGCTTCCCACTTCCCTAGGCTGACAGGGCCTGAGATCTGGTCCCCTGCTCCTCCCCACTTGTACCGTGTGCCCCATTCCCTCTTGATCCAGCTGTTCGAGCCTCTGCCCATGCTTTCCCCTCTACCTAGAATGATGTCTTCACTTTCCATCCCCCACCCGCTTCTGGGCCCAGCTAACTTCCTTCAAATGCTTCTCAGGGATCACGTCCCTTTGGTTAAGAGATCTCCAGCCCATAGCACATCACACGACACCCACCCGGGCCCTGTAAGCATGTGCTCCATCAGTGAATAAAGCCAACCGTATGCTTTCTCTGCTCCAACGACTGTGCTCCGGGGTGACTAGAAGGACGGTGTCCCAGATGGCAATCACTACAAACTCACGGTCCCTAAGGCCCTGACCAGCTGTCTTCCTGACTAGCACAGCTATGTCAAACCTCTACCCTCCTCAGCCCGGCTCCCTTACCCTCCCCTCCTTTTTCATGGCAAAGTTCCAGGTCTCACAAACGCAAACCCACCTGCGTGGGCACTGAATCCTTCCTAGTTCTCTCCTGTCGCACGTGAAGAAGTGACAAGGCCAGGCACTCCACCTCAGCTCTGGGTCTCACCTCGCCCTGCCCCCATCAGGAACCACAGCCAGCAGCTCTCCTCTAGCGTTGTCCTCTCTCTCCACCGACTCCAACTGGCCACATTTCACTGTTTCCTCACTTCCGCCTCCTGGAGACCCCACCCTGCCATTGCAGCTGGACTCCTCTGCCTCTTCACGGCTGGGCTTCTTGAACCCACTGCCATGTGGGCTCCTGGCCTGCTGCATGCTTCCATATAACCACAGCGACTCTCCTTCTGAAACCCACAAGTCCACTTCACTCATTGGAACACCTGATGGGAATGAGGTTTTCATCCTTCTGGAAATACTTCTTCCCTAAGCGCTCTGAGTTTCCTCCTCCCCTTCAGTTGCCATCTCCCTGAAGTCCCTCAAATGTTGCAATTTTCAAAACGCAACCTCTTCCCCGGGCTCACTTGCTGTGGGGGTCTCTTTTTCTCCCACAACCTCAACCCACCTCTATGCTGATGACCTCGAATCCATAGTCTGCCTTATGTTTGTCTCTTTTGCTCCAAAACCCATGTAGATACCAATCACTGTCCTCACACCTCTCATCTCACGGTCCCCTGCGACTTACCATGTTACCCATCAGGACGTTTCTTCTATTCTTCCCTTCTCACTAACGCCAACATCCAAATTCATTGAACTACTACCTAAATGTCCCCCAAAACTGGTTCCAGTGCCCTCCTTCCTCTATCTCCACCATCTGAGCTACCGCCTAACCCTTCTGACTCTGTTCTCCTTCACGTCATCCAGCAACACGGGAGCCAGTGAGCTTTTTCTCTCAAATCTGCTCAAGTTTCTCCCTTGCTCAAGACCCTTCCACAAAACCTCACCGTGCCTGAATTAGGTCCGGGCTCACCTCATACGTCCGAGCTGAGCTCCTCACCAGCAGTGCTAAGTGACATGGGACTTCTCACAATTCCTAGAACACATCATCCTGGCTCACCCTGGCAGTTGCCCTTCCTGCTGCCCTGGCCCCAGATCTCTTCATCTCTCAGCCTCAGCTCACCTCCTCTGCAAAATCCTGACTGGCTTCCTCCTTCCCCCAGGGAAGGTTAGGTGCCCCTTTCTGTCCCCTCAGCCCCCTAGGCCTCCTCCCTACCACACCACTCACCACACGGTGGTGTGCGTGGCTATGACTGACTGGGGTTCCCCAAGAGAATGGGGGTTCCGTTAGGGCAGGAAAAGCTATGTGTCAGGGATTAGCCCAGGCCCTAGTGCAAAGTCAGACACACAGAAGTGCCGGATTCTCTTGAATGACTTAATAAAAGAACACAGAAAGAAAACAAGTCAAGCTAAAAATGATACACTTAACACATGCCACGAAGTCCTGTAAAGGGTTTGCTGTGAGTGTGGTTGTTGGCTCTCTAGTGGCCCATGCAAAGAGGGGAAACGTGACCAGTTACACAAACGAAGGCAGCCACGAGGCAAAAACAAACCACCACTCAAAAGCCCAGAACAAAATGGTGCCCAACGGGCCTCGAGGAGGCATCACAGTACCAAAGGCCAACCCAACTCTGCAAACACCACCCTACAAGCCTCGTGTCCCGGCTGCCTGCACCTGTGTCCTACTCTCCCCACTCTAGTTAGGTCTATGAAGCAAGCGGGGTCTTCCCCAGGGCACCCGGCACAATCCCTTACACAGAGCTCCAGAACCTGTTACCACGTGAATGAACCTGAGCAGCCGGGCCATTGAGCCATCCACCCTCTCACTCTGACCCCTCAGGGCCCTGCTAACCATGACCTCGGACTCCCCTTTAGCACTTTCACCACGTGCTCAGCAGTTCTCAGGGGACCCGCAGGAGCTGACCAAAGCCATGGTCCCGAGTGAATCCAGGAGGCCGGGGAGTTCCGGAGAGACCGCCTGAGGTGTCAGGCTCACCTGTTGAGACCTTCCATGGCTGACGCCACCCTGTCATCGATCTGCAGCACGGTCTTGTAGTCCACATAGGCCAGGGGGTACTTCTCCAGGGCCTCGTAGGCCGAGGCCCGCCGTAGGAGGGGCTTCATGCTGAAGGGAATCAGGGCCAGTGCTCTGGAGCAGGAGGCAGAAATGTCATCCAGCTGCTGAGGCACCAGGGCTCCCCCCACAGCCCCTTCTACGCAGGGTCAACTGCGACATTCAGCGTACAGGAGGTCACAGCTGGCACAGAAACGTGGCTAAAAATGTCAAACCTTAGCAGAGGGACTTTCCAACTTAGACTGAAGTAAAGAAGGGAGGAAGGGTAGGAAACCACTAAGGCTGTTAAATCCAATTTTCTGAGTCACACTCCCCCCAGATCAAGAACAAGCGCCTGTGGCTTGTACTCTCCCATGTGTTCCTACAGAGTCCGACCCGGTGGGAGAAAGAGGCTTCGCCGTCAGCTGGAGTGGTGTCTGAATTCCACCTCTGCCACCGACCACGGAACGCCAGGTAGATCACCTTACGGCCTCAGTTGGCCGCAACCCACTTCTAGCCTGGGCAGGGACGGTCAACTTACCCCGCAGAGCGGTCATGAGCCCTCCGGGAAGGAAACCTAGCACGGCCCTGCTACGGAGCACCCGAGCACAGGCCCCGGGAGCACGCTCGTCTCTCCTCCTCTCTCAGCTATCACCAGGGCATGACCCCAAGGCGATGCCGCAGGAGAGCGGGTCTGAGAACACACGCATGTTGCCAGTTCAGGGACGAGAAGAGCAGGCAGGGTCAGACTGGCCGCAGAAGAAAGTAGTACGACAAACTGCTCAACATCCTTCACACCTTGCGATCGATGGACGCCTTCTTCTCCTTGCTTCTTTTGAGGCGATTCAACTAACCTCTGTCCCTCTTCCTTTCCCTCCTGCACACATCCACCCCAGAAAACACCAGGGCGAGCCAGTCACAAGCCTGCACCTCACCCTCATCGTCGGGTCCCCGATCTCACAAGGCCCGTAAGGCTCACCTCTAAGTCCCCACCTGAGCCCACCCTCTAAGACTCCCACTCCGTTGGCAGACTCCAAAGACATGAGTCAGGGGCCGCAGGCACCACGTGGAGCCTCCTATCCTCGGTGACCTGGTGACACTCAGGGACACTTCCTCCTTATCTGACACACTTGGAACCTCTGGGATCGACCCCAAGAAGAGAACAGGCCGATGAACGCAGCCTCCTGTCCTGAGACCCAGGGGCTACCCCGCCCACTTACGAAGTGCAGTCCTTGATGCAGTCCCTGCAGTTGCCATCCTTTAGGTGGCACGCTGCGCGGTTAGAGAAGAGGATGCTTTCTTCTTCCGGGTTCGAGCAACCTGCCCAAGGGGAAGAGAAAGCACGAAATTAACAGAGTGGGAAATGGATGCCCTGGGACTCTGGGGTGTATTTCAAACCCGGAGCTCTCTGGGCTTCCTGATGGCGCTTGTTGGTCTGAGGGGCTGCCAGCAAGCTTCCTGCCACTCACCGGGAACCAATCAACTTCTCTTTTCCTTACTCCAGCACGCAAGTCAGGACCAGGCAGAGGACAAAACATGAACCAGCTGGCTTCTGCTCAAGGATATCCATGCTGTAACTACAGGTGTGTGTGAATTTTGTTACAAAAAGCAGGTAAACCCAATGAGAGTGGTTTTTGAAAAAGGAAAAGAAAAATGTGATAAAGAGACTGAACAGGTCAGGGGCGCCTGGGTGGCTCAGTGGGTTAAAGCCTCTGCCTTCGGCTCACATCATGATCTCAGGGTCCTGGGATCGAGCCCCGCATCAGGCTCTCTGCTCGCCAGGGAGCCTGCTTCCTCCTCTATCTCTGCCTGCCTCTCTGCCTACTTGCAATCTCTGTCTCTGTCAAACAAATAAATAAAATTAAAAAAAGAGAGAGAGAGAGACTGAACAGGTCAGACAGAGACGAATCCTACCTGGTCAAATCAGAGAGGACTTTGCCAAAGAAGAGTCCTCTGGGTCTGGCAGGAATATGCAGAACTTTATCAGGGGAAGGATTCGAGCGACCCAGTATGGAAGAGAATTATCAGACACTTTCCTAAAGGTAATCCTTATCCTCAGGAATCTCAGAAGCCCATGTCTTTTACTGTGTGGCCACAAAGACTTTCAATTTTAAAAAATAATTTTTTGGGGTGCCTGGGTGGCTCAGTTGGTTAGGCGTCTGCCTTGGGCTTAGGTTATGATCCCGGAGTCCCGGGATCATGCCCTGCATTGGGCTCCCTGCTTAGGGGGGAGCCTGTTTCTCCCTCTGACCCTCCCCTCTCTTGTGCTTTCTTACTCTAACTCTCTCAAATAAATAAATAAAATCTTTAAAAAAATAATTTTTCAACCACTTCATACCCACTAGCACACGCCATCACGGAAAGCAAACAAATGAAAAACTCCAAAAATTATTAGATGTTGACTCAGTAATTCTACTCCTGAGTATATACCCCAAAGAAGTAAAATAAACTCTTTTCCTGAAAATTACAAAACATCCAGAAAACAGTGAAACAGATACTTGACATCCATCCCTGGACTTGGCAATACATTGTATTTGTTTCCAACCTCTTTCATTTTTGAGATGGCTAAAGCTCCATTCATCCTCACCCTTTTCTCTTTGCTTCCTCCCCAGACCCCCAGAGGTCAGCACAGTTCTGAAGTTGGTAGGTAACACCCTCCTGTAGTCATGCTTGCCTTCTTCTATTACCTTCAAATTCACAGTGAAGAGCATATTCCACTTTATAGCTTTCAAAGATTTTCAAAACTAAGTGGCACCCCACTGCTTATCCTTCCACAACTTACTTTTTTTAAACTAAGTATGTCACCATACTGAGGCACGACAGCTTTCATTCAATATCAACAGTAACAAACCAATAAAATCAGAACGTCCCCCCTTATTTTGCCAGGCCCTGAGTGAGACAGCAAAGTACAAGAAAAAGTAGAATATATCCTAGCTCTTGAAGAATAAGCACAAGTATTCAAAACTCATAATTATCTCAAGGCGCTAGAGCATGGATGCATAGAAGCAGCAGGGGTGTGGTGGGAAGAGCAGCAGAGGAGCCGAGGATCCTGCCCCTGAGCCCGCATGAGTCACTCGATCCCTCTGATCGCATGTGCTCCCCTATCGCATTAACACACCACTTTACAGACTTGCTGGAAGGGTTCATTTTGTTCGCTTGCTCCCTGCTGTCCTTTCAAGATCAGCAAAGCTGAGCCAAGAAATCAACGGATTTGCCCAGATATTACCAGGAAAATCAACAGCAAGATCAGAACCAAATGCTGGTCCCCAACTAAATCTACACCAGGCAGCCCTTCTAAGGATCCAGAATAAATCCATTCAAAAGCACATGCTTTTGCAGACCAGCTGGGATAGGATGAAAGAAAAAGGTAGAAAATCAATACCTCAGATTCATCAGTGACTTCATCAAATGAGGCTGAGATGAGGAAGTGGGCCTATAGAGGACTGTTCTAGAAAAACAAGAGGGGGCCAAAGAGGGGCTTGAAATTGCACAAGGTCAAACAAGATAGATTGGAGTTTGGAGAGGATTTGAGGAGAAGCCTGGCAAAATGATTCAAAACTTGGACTTGCAAATCAGACAGACCTGTTTTCAAATCCTGCCTCTGATGTCCTCATTGTATAACCCAGGGTAGACAGATTTAACTCTTCTGGACTCCTCATCTATAAGGTGTCTTATCCTTGGTTTATATGTAGACAAAAAGGAATGAAGTCTGTAGTGTCTAACACATAGTAAAGCACTCAACAAATGAAGGAAGGCAAAAGGAAATAGGTACTACAGGAAATGAGGGCTCATGGGTAAGGTACTTTGGAGGAGAGGTTTGGGCCAATGGGCTGTGGTTGGTTAGAATGAGGCTTAACTCCTCTCCAAAGTGTCTTACCCATGAGCTGAAGGCTGGGAGAACTGGTAAAGGACATGTTGCTCCTCTGTTTAAAACAAAACTTGGGGTGCCTAGGTGGCTCAGTGGGTTAAGCCTCTACCTTTGGCTCAGGTCTTAGGGTCCTGGGATCGAGTCCCGCGTCGGGCTCTCTGCTCGGCGGGGAGCCTGCTCCCTCCTCTCTCTCCGCCAATAAAATAAATTAAATGAATAAAATCTTTAAAAAAAAAAAAAGATTTTATTTATTTATTTGACAGAGAGAGATCACAAGTAGGCAGAGAGACAGGCGGAGAGAGAGGAGGGAGCAGGCTCCCCGCCGAGCAGAGAGCCCGACGCGGGACTCGATCCCAGGACCCTGAGATCACGACCCGAGCCGAAGGCAGCGGCCTAACCCACTGAGCCACCCAGGCGCCCCAGATAAATAAAATCTTAAAAAAACAAGAAACCCCAAACTCCCCAGTTGTCTCCCATCATGGAATAAAATCCAAACTCCTTACCACAGCCTACTGTATAAAATGCCTACACAATACGGCTCTATCTAACTGACCTCAATATTTACTATTCCTGCACTGGCTACTATGCTCTGGTTCCTGCAACACACCATGCTTATCCTGTCTGGGGGCCTTTGGAATGAACAGTTCCCTCCACCTGGAATACTCATCACCCAAAACTATGCACTTGGCTTCTTCTCATCATTCAGACATCACTTCAAAGGTCACTTCTTCAAAGTTGTCCTTGACCTTCCACTCCAAAAGAGCTCCCCAGTCACCTTTCTTACCAAATCACTGTGTCTGTCTTCTTTGCAGCCCTGATGGTTAATCAGACAGGCCTAGTTTACATCTGGGTAAGTTAAATGTGGTATGTCCATACAATGGAAAATTATGCAGCCTTAAAAAAGGAGGAAACCATCTGTCACATTGCTACAACATGGATTATAATCTTCTTGGGGCCATTAAGGTAAGCAAACTAAGTCAGTCACAAAACACAAATACTGTATGACTGGACTCTTTGGAAGTTAAACTAATCAAAATCACAGCTACCAAAAGTAGAAAGGTGGAAACAAAGGGCTGAGGGGAGGGAAGGAAGATTAGTGTTTTAGTGGGTACAGAGTTTCACTGCTGCAGCGATCTGTTGCACAACAATCTGAATGTACTTAATACTCCACTTAAAGACGGTTAAGAAGGTAAATTTAATGCTGTTTTTTACCGCAATAAAAAAAAATTGTGATAAAACACCCACTGATATGGAAATATGTTTGGGATGAATCAATTAAGTTTAAAAGAACCAGTAATAAAACCGTATTACAATTAAAAAAAAAAATAGCAGAAAGGTTTAAGGAAGTTTCTCGTAGGATGCCGAAGCGGGGAATGGGCGGGAAGGGTGCCCGGTGGGCCTGATGAGCCAGCTGGCCCTGGGGAAAGCAAGCCGAAGGCACCCTGGGCAGGAGCGAGGTCTGGGCGGCCGCGGCGTGGGACGCCGCGGGGAGAGGCCGGCCTGGTGGGGAAACCGGGGCCAGGGTCGTACCTTGCGCCTGCAGCGTCCGCAGCGCGCGGCTGTAGAGCACGGTGGCTTCGGCGAACTGGCCGTTGCGGAAACTCTGGTTGCCCGCGGCGCGGAGCGCCTCCACCGAGTCTGCGAGCTTGGGGCCCATCCCCGGGGCCGAGTCGGCGCACCGGGCGGCGCGTCCGTTACCGCGCTGAGGCGTGCGCAACAGCGTCCCGGCGGGAGCACCGGCCGGCGAAGATGCGACTGCGACCGCCAACCTGCCCGGGAGGGGGCGGGACGCGCGGGGCGGGGCCAGAGCTGCGCGCGCCAGAGGCCTTCTGCGCATGCTCCGGTCGGGACTTACCTAGCGGAACGCTCTGTATGGTATCCGTAGGGAGGCTGAGAGCCTAAGGAGGTCAAAACTCTGGGTAAAACCATGAAAGAGGCAAGGTCCCTGCTGGCGGGGAGCTTACATTCTCGTGGGAACCGACAGGCTATTAACTCTTGAGCAAACGAAGACGCTAATCTCATAATGTGATTAATGCTAGAAGGAAAACAAAACTGTGGTGTAATGGGAAGTGACCACGTGGGGACTATTTTAGATAAGGGGGGTGGTGGGGTGGGGTAGGCGTCTCTGAGGGACTAAAGAGCTGAAGAAGCCTGAGAAGATTTAGGGAGTGCTGATCCAGACACATAGCAAGTGCAAAGGCACTGAGGCTGGAAACTAACTGGTACTTAGTGCTCTGTAGATGTTGATTTAATAAATGAATGCACTGATAGGTCCGTGAGGATCTTTCGCTGAGGGCAACTTGAACTTATCTTCAGCGTCCTTTGACATAACTGTATGTCCCACTTGATGGGCCAGTGTTTTTAACTGCTTGTTGACCCCTGTGCACATGAAGCTGTTTCTCTTGCTTTCTAACCTTCGCTTATGTGCCCCCATCCTGCAGTTCTTTTCCAAACACTTCCTTTTACCTGATCCTGACTCCACCTATAATCATCCTTTCTGAAAGCCTTTCTTGACGCCTCACATCTTGCCCCTGGTCCCTCCTCTGCTCCAATTGCTCCCAGAGTTTATATCTCAGTTAACACTCTGTGATTGTCAGTTTACAGTTTTTCTCAAAGACTGTGAAGCCTTTAAAGGCAGGAAGTAGGTCTTTATTTTTATCTCCACAAGACCTAGTCAGATCTGGCACCAAACATGTAGTTATAAAGGTCTATTGGCAAACACGTGGTCTCTGCCCTCAGAAATTTAGTTATAATTATTTGTGTAAATCCAACTCACCCAGACTATAAGCTTTCTGAGTGTTGAGTGGCTGTTCCTTTTGAATCCACTCAGTCCAGTGCAGGCCCCACACAAGGAAAGAATGAATTTAGTGTGGCAGGGAAACCCGACCATGCACGTACACTGCTGGTTATTTACTCAACAGCTTCCATCTTTGCTTCCAGAAGTCTGAATTCTTCCGCTCCAGGGAATGAATCAGGATTTTGTTAACCCAATCACAGTAATCTCACTCCCTTTTGCCAATGATTGGTCAGGTGTGGACATACCCCTGATTTGCTCAGCGAGTTTACAGGAGGTCTGCTGGGTCCTTATGGGAAAGCTTTTCCTCTCAGATAAGAGATACAGAATTGCAAAATAACTTTTTTTTCCTCTCTCTTTATGCTTTGGTTACTGTTGGGTTAAGGATATATACCTGGACATGTGGTAGTCATTTTGCAATTGTGAGGCAATAAGCACAGGTATGAAAAACCCATGTGCTGAGGAGGGCAGGAGGAGAAAGATGAAATTGACATTGGTGAGCCATTGAATCAACCCTGGAAGGACTGACTTCTGGACTACTTAATAAATAACAAATGCCATGGTGCCTTAAGCTGCCATTTAGATCCCCCCCCCCAGTTACTTGGAGGTGGATATATTCTAAATGGTACACCAGACAAGTACACCTGTGTCAAGCTGTATTTTCCAAAAATGACCAAACCAATAATTTCCAGTCCTCTACCCTCTTCCAGAACCTGGCCACTCCCACAACCAGAGATAGAGTCTATTTTAGCTCTCTTTGAAATTGCACAGAACTTTGGGGTCCCCTCAACAGTGGAAATAACATTATCTACCTTCCAAGACTATGGCATTAAAAGGCACTAAAGCTTCCTCCCAGCTCACCCTCACAAATATCCTTCAGCACCTAGCCTTTATCCTGAGACTAAAAAACCAAACAAACCAAAATGATAAGTCCCCTCTACCCTCAGTGCTAAGTGAGCTCCCAGCCAACAGCTGGCACCAACTTGTCAGACATGTGAATGAGGCATTTTGGATAAGAACACATCCAGGGGCGCCTGGGTGGTTCAATCGTTAAGCGTCTGCCTTCAGCTTGGGTCATGATCCCAGGGTCCTGGGATCGAGAGAGCCACATCGGGCTCCCTGCTCAGTGGGAAGACTGCTTCTCCCCTTTCCCCTGCTCATGTTCCCTCTCTAGCTGTTTTTCTGTCAAATAAAGAAAATCTTTAAAAACAAACAAAAAAGAATATATCCAAATGGTGACTGACCCTGACTGACACCATGGAAAAAGAGATGAACCTTACCTGCGGAACCATGCTCAAATTGTAAATTTATGGGGAGAGAGAGAGAGAGAGAAATACTGTTGTTTTATGCCACTAAGTTCTAGGAATGGTTTCTTACACAGCAACTGATAAATGATAATCCCTTCCCACAATGCTTCCCATAAATGCAGGGCCGATAAAAGCAGAACTGAAAGAATTTAGGGGAGGGAGATACTGGGGAGTAGGGGCATAGTGAAAGTCTTCTGGGAGGTGACTTTTTTAAAAACAATTTTATTGAGAAATAATTCACTAGCATATAATCCACCCACTTAAAGTTATGTACAGTTCAGTGGTTTTTATTATGTTCAGAGTTATATAATCATCACCACAATTTTAGAATATTGTCATTATCAAAATGAAACCCCACATCTTTTAGTCATCATACCCAATTCTCCTACTCCATCTCCCCCATCCCCAAGCCCAAGCCCAAAGCAACCACTAATCTACCTTCTGATAAATTTGCCTGTTTTGGACTTTTCATGTAAATGGAATCATATGATACACAATCCTCTGTGATTGGCCTCTCACACACAGCAGTGTTTTCCCGTGTCATCCATGGTGTACCATGTATCAGAACTTCATTCCTTTTTATTGCTGAGTAATATTCCATTGTATACATTTTGGGTGTATTTATACATAAATACATTACATGTAATGTATTTATACATTTGTCAGCTGATGGACATTTGGGTTCTATTTTTTGGACAGGAAGTAACTTTTTTTTTTTAAGGAAGTAACTTTTTGATATTTATTAAGATTTCATCTCTCTGAGTTAACCATCTCACCAAAGACGTATTTAATATGTATGCAGCTTTAATGGGGGAAGGAATAGATATTACAGCTGTAGTCTCCTGAATGAGGTAATATGCACAGACATGATTATTGGACATTCATTTTTTGTTTGTTTAAACATTTCTTTTCAGGGTTAATTGGTAGTTTCTTTTAAATAATATCTCTGCCTTAGTTGGTTGAGAGACACTGGTGAGTAAAGTGTTAGAATGAGGACAATCTTACATTTCATTGAACTGAGCCAGGCACAGCCAATACTTTTTATATGCTGATTCCAAATAATGAACCAATTGGTCTTGGGGAAAGAAATACAGACAGCATCATAATTTGTCAATTTCCAGTTCTGGATGCTTTTCAGTTCAGGTGTATCAGTCATGACTTTATCTGAAAACACACTCCGAGTAAGATGGCTTATGGAAGGGATTTGAAATAAGAAGTTAATTCAGGGAATTGGTTTCAGAGGTGACAGAAGAGCCAAGAACACTGAGGGATCCCAAAGGCCAGCAGCAGCAGGAATACTATGCCCAGGACTTGAATATAAAAAGGAAATGGTGATGATGTGGCTTGGAGTGTTGGGGTTGGGGAGCCAATGGCCAAGAAAGAATGCTTGATACATCTTTGTTAAAGCACGGAGATAGGACCCAGGGGTAGAAAGAGCTGCACTGGGGTTATGAGGAGTGACTAGTTAAAGATTTTTTTTGAAGATTTTATTTATTTGACAGAGAGATCACAAGTAGGCAGAGAGGCAGGCAGGGAGCGAGGAAGGGAAGCAGGCTCCCCGCTGAGAAGAGAGCCCAATGTGGGGCTCAATCCCAGAACCCTGGGATCATGACCTAAGCTGAAGGCAGAGGCTTAACCTACTGAGCCACCCAGGTGCCCCTAATTAAAGATTTTCTATCTTACGGAGAGTGATGTTAGGGTTCCAGGAAACTGAGTTTATAGGTTTCTGGAAATTGTTTTTCTCTCTCTTTTTAAGACTTTATGTATTTATTTGACAGAGAGAGAGAGAGGAGAAAGGGAACACAAGCAGGGGGAGAGAGAGGGAGAAGCAGGCTTCCCGCTGGGCAGGCAGCCCAATGGGATCATGACCTGAGCTGAAGGCAACACTTAACAACTGAGCCACCCATGCACCCCAGAAATTGCTTTTTTCTTATAAACCATTGACAGGTGCAAACTGAAGGAGACTGTGTCTTGTATCCTGCATGACTGTGATCTCCATCAGTTAACCATTTTTCTTCCTTTCCTTTGTTTTAGGGCAGCCGGGATGCCTGAGGAATGTCACACATAACCCACAGGGTGAGGGGTGGGGGTGGGGGTGAGTTGTGGAGTGTTAGCTTGTGCTTTGCCCTCAGTTTGCCTCTGCTCTTTCAGAAGCTGCAGCAGAGTAGGAGCTGGAGCCAAGTCAGGATGCTCTAGGAGGAGCTGAAGACAAAATTACTGTTAGATACTTGATCAGAAGCAAAGAAGAGAGAGAAAGACTGGCTTCTCTCTTAGTTTTCTGTTTTTGGTCTCCTGACAATGAACCCAGCCAGAAGTCAGCTGACCTGGGAACTTGAGAAGTGAGCTTACAGGACTGGTCTTTTCCCCTAGGACTTCTTAGATATGACATCAAAAGTATGAGTCATAAAAGAAAAAAGTGGATAAACTGTACTTAAAAATTAAAGTTTCTGTTCTTTAAAAATGAGGCTGTTTAGAGAATGAAAATACAAGCTCCAGAAAATGTTTGTAAATCACATATCTGATAAAGAACATGCCTCCAGAATATTTTAAAAAAACACTAAAAACTCAATAATAAGAGAAAGCAATTTTAAGAAGGACAAAAGACTTGGAAAATACACAGATGACAAGTACTTGAAAAGATGCTCAACATCATTAGTCATTAGAGAAATACCAATTAGAAACACAGTGAGGG